CCATTTGTCTTATATTTAAATCATGAGGCTTTGCAATTCATCAATAGCTAGCACAAGCTTAACTAAAGGCATGCAACTTAGGTAAAATTTCGTCAAGCTTACAACTTCACTATCAAGCATAAATTAGGAACTCAAAATATGGTGGCAGATGCTTTGAGTAAAAAAAACTCCTATTGGGGACTATGGCTATTGGAGTTATTAGATTTGATGTAATCAGATGGTTCTATGAAGTAAACCCTTACTTTGGTCGAATTTAGAAAGAATGCAAGTAAGGACCACACAATCAATTTTTGTTACATGATGGATATCTCTTCAAGGCTAATAGCCTTTGCATTCTCTCATGTTCTTTGATATAGGCCTTAATTAACAAGGCTCAAGATGGTGCACTAGGTGGACATTTTGAAAGGGACAAGATATTTTTTCTTTTGTAAGACAGGTTTTATTGGTCAAGAATGAAGAGAGATATGACGAAACACCTTTAACGATATAGAGTGTGCCACATTGCTAAGAGTTATGGGCAAAACATTGGATTGTATACTCTACTACCCATGCCTAGTACTCTTTGGGAGGATGTTAGTTTAGACTTACTAGTAAGACTACCGAGAACTCAAAGGAACAAAGACTCTATCATAGTGGTTATGGATCATTTTTCCAAGATGGTCCATTTCATTCTTTGTACCAAAACTATAAATGCTTCTCATGTTTTTTCTTTATATTTCAAAAAAATTATGAGGTTACATGAAGTTCCTAGATCCATGATGTCTGATCGAATTCTAAGTTTTTTAGTCATTTTTAGCGCACTTTTTGAAAGAAGCTTGACACCAATCTTAAGTATAGTTCTTCTTATCATCTTCAAACAGATGGTTAAACGAAAATAACTAACTGCAGCTTGGGCAACCTTTTAAAAAGTTATATGGGAAAGGATATCAAGCAATGTGATCTTATTTTACCTTAAGTAGAGTTTTGTCTATAATCACTCACCAAGCCAAACCACTGGTTGCAACCTTTTTGAAGTGATGTGTGGTAAGAATCTAATTAGCCTTTTAGATTTGGTTCTTCTCCCTACTAATCAACAATTTAGTAGAGATCCAAAAGAAATAGCTAAAGGTATCAAATGACTACATGAGCAAGTGAGAGTTAGGATTTTATAGCAAAATGAAAAATATAAAAGGGTAAAGAACAAGCATCAAAGACATGTAGAGTTAAAAAAAGGTGACTTGGTGTGGATTAACTTATAGAAAGAGAGATTTCTTTCAGAAAAGTTTAGCAAGTTACAACCTAAGGTAGATGGTCCATTTAGATTTATCCAACGTATTAAGGAAAATGCCTGTAAGATAGAACTTTCTGACACTTATGGAGTATCTCCTACCTTCAATGTTGTTGATTTGACACCCTATCATGGCGAGAAAACTAATTCATACTTGATTATAAGTCTTTTCCAACCAAAGGAGATTGACACCAGAGTATTAACACATCTTACAACTTAGGCTGAAAATAAAGAGGATTTATCCAAAAATAAGATAAGCCTATCCTTGGTCCAAATCCACTAAACAAATGTAGATGTATGAAGATGGATAGCATAAAGAGATTGTATTCACACTAACTGAAAAAAAATAAAAACATGAAAATAGATAGGATTATGGTCAGATTCATAGATGAACCTAAACACTAAATATTAAACACATTATCAATATGCAAAATTGTAATTTGCAGGAGCAAATGAGTAGCTAATTATGCATCAATTTAGCAATCTAAAAAAGGCAATCTTTGAAACTCCCATACTTTGAGGGATGTTCCTAGTCGATTTATGTTCTGTTATTTTTTGTAAAAAGCAAAATGGAGTTTTTTTTATCTTTAAGTAATTTTTTAGATTGTTTTCAAGTTCTATATATCTTAGGTAAATTTTCTAGAGTGACAAATTTTTATAATTTTGCATCTTTGATTAGAATTTTTATGGTAGTATTTTTGTACCCTTGACGCAATATTTGGACAAATATTAATAAAGGAAAGGAAACGAAAGGAAAGGAAAAGCAAAGAAAAGAAAGTTTTTTTTAAGAAAAAAAAAAAGATACATGTACCTATTGTTTGGATAATTAAAATTAATAATAAAAAAAATTTAACAACCATTGTTTAGATAAAAAGTGAAAATAAAAAAAAAGATTTATTATAATAATTGTTTTCAATTATAATCTTTAATTGCTTATGATTTTAAAATACTTTTGGATATAATAATCTTTTTATAAAAATAAATTTTTTTCAACTTTTCTTTACTTAGCTTTTTTCCCAAAATGGGGTATTAAAAAAATAAGATTACAAGAGAAACAAAAAATTATTAAATTTTTACCTCTTTTATTTTTTTCAAATTAAAAATTTATTCAAACAAAAAATGATTTTTCTAATTCTATTACTTTCTTTTATTTTTCCTTTCTTTCTTTCCCCTCCCATCAGTCCAAATATAATGTTAATGTCTAGTCTCAATATTCTATCATTATTTAAATTTTTATATGTTATCTTTTTTTAATTTTTTTATTTATAATTAATTTTTAATATCTCAACCATCAATTCTCTTAATCAAATAACGATAAGATAAATATAACAATTGACTGTCCTATCAATGACAATCAATCGTGGTCATAATTGAAATGTCTTCATTTTCATTTTTATATGATTGTCCTATGAAAACCTGGGATCAACGAACCATGGACATTTCCATTGAAAGGGCACCGAGACCAACTATACTGTGGGCAGCTACACAAATGCACTCCATGATACAATTGACTGCAAAAAAATCCTAAATTCCATCACACCAGAGTTGCAATGAATTCCAAACTAACCCAAAATCTATTTGATGCTTAACAGTTGAAGACAATCTATCAAAGAAAAAAAAAAAGTAGTCGAAGATAAATTTCTCGAAAAGGAAAAAAAAATAGTTGAAGACAAATTACTTTGGGTTCACTTCCATCTCTTTTTTTTATTTAATTTTTAATCTATTCTTAAATTTTTTTACTTTTATATTTATCTGATAAAAAAGATATTAGACATAAATTTTTTAAAATTTATAATTTCAAACATCAATTCAAATATTATATCAATTAATCAAAATATTAAAAAAAAACTTTCTTTACCTGTTAAAAAAAAAAAAAAAAACCAATCCAAATATCAATAAAAAAAAACTCTTTTATCACTTAAAAACCAGTAAAGAAACAGATAATCGATGGTCGTCTAAAGAAATTGAGTATGTTTTTAACTATTTTAATTTAGTATCTTTCCCACGGTTTTCTCCATCGTCAGCACTCAATCTTACCCGGTATCTATCAAGTTCCAATGCTTTCCACCTAACTTCCTGGTAACCTAGATTAAGTAGAAGGTTCGAAAAATATCAAAAGACAAAAAGTAATAACAAAGCGCACGATTGGGCATGGTAGTTGGATCTGCCTTTTTCTTTCTTCCTTATCAATTTTGATGATTAACCCAAGGACGAATTTTGATACCATTGACGAACGCAGAGCCTGATTGCAAGATTGGGGATGGAATACGATGCAGAGATAAGTTTGAAGTATATAATGTTGACTTGACCAATAGAGCATGCCCACGCAATTATAGTTTTTGTTATCGTCTACCCACCACTTCCACACCTATTCTTCAGTCGTAAATTCATGTTTCGTCAAATATGTTGGCTTCCTTTGTCATCACAATAATAATTGTCGGGGTCGACCAACTTTGCCTCACTAGATTTGTTTTTTTTCTTTTACACAGTGATTATTGTTGAGAATAATTAAGGATGAGCAATCAATCGATATGATTTTTTAAAAAAATCAAAAATCAATTTTTTTAAAAAGAATTAATCATAATTAATTTTTTGAATAATTAAAAATAATTTAATTGACGTAAAGTTGGTCGATTCAATTAAAAAATAAAAATTTTTCATTATTTTTTATCACTAATTTTGAATAATAATTTTGTAATAATTTTCATATAATAAAATAATTTTATAATTTTGACATTAATATAATATTTGTCATTCTTAAAAATATTAAATACTTTTATGTACATTAAAATTATATAAAATATATTTAGAAATTTACTAACAAATCGATTAATCGGTTTGATTATTAATTTAATAAATAGAAAACCCACCAAATTAAATAATTAAACCATTTTATTTAACAAATCATTATCAAAATCAAACTAATCAAATTGACTTAATTAAATTCAATTAATTTTGATCAATTAAACCAATTAGATTCTTATACTCACCTCTAATAACTTACTAGAAGTTTTGCTTGATATAGGGTGGGAACATGGCCTTTGAAGTTAAAGATTTATTTGAATGGATAATAAGATTAAAAATAAAGATAGAAATAAAATTAATTACTAATAATGAGATTAAAATTAATGATAAGATATATATATATATTTAAATACAAATACAATGATAAGAGTGAATTAAAGCTTAATGAGAAAATAAATTTTCCTTAAATATATTAGAATATATTTTGTATAAAGTAAAATTTTTAAATTATTTGATATTTATGAAATTAACAATGAATTAAAATTATTTTAAAGTTAAATAATAATTTATTAATAAATAATAAAAACTAATAAAATAATAATATATCAATATTTTTAAAAAAATAATAATATATTTACATAAATCATAATAATCTAAAAAGATAATAATCAATTTTTTATGGAAAATAATAATTATTTTTTATTCAAAATAAAAATTTTATCGTATGTTATTATTAAATGGATCATACCATATTATAATATAATTCAATAAGTAGCATTTTAAATAGAAATAAAAAAATTGAATAAATTTGTATTTGGCATAATTGCTTCGATGATATTAGTTGGCTAATGCATTTTTAAAATATTATTATATTCTTCTGTTTTTCATTATCTTTCTTTATTTGGTCTCCTTGAAAAACTATCAATTCTTTCGTGTGGGAGGAAGCTGCTTTAGAATTAGAAAAACAGAGAATACGCAGAGGAACAAATTTTTTAATTTTATGCAAAATTATAAAGTCAAATTCCATTAATTTTGATTATGTAATTAATTGACCTTTAAGCCCAAACAGCCAGGAGAGACATAAGACCAGATCCAAGAAGAAGACAAACACTTGCTCCTACTTGAAGTATTCCATTGTTTTGCAACTTTGGATTCATGAAATCAGCAGCCAGAAGATCGACAAGCGCCATATATATTAAGATCCCAGCTGATGCCGCGTTGAAGATCCCTTCAACAATAAGAGCAGTTGAGCTGTTCTCATCGTATACATTTGATATGCCTATTCCTATAGCAATTCCTACCGGGGTTGTGAGAGAGAAAAAGATTGCCATAATTGCAACAGCTCGAGACTTGAATTTTGCCTACAAAAACATCCACAATAAACCACTACTAAACAAAATGGTATTAAAAAAAAAAAAAGAACAGTACCATCCCAAAAGCCAGATAATGACAAACGTGGGGCATCTGATTTCCCCGTTTCCAGTTTACAGAAATGGTTGGAAGTTATTAAACAAAATCTGAACATTTATTAGTAGTTATTACCCTGGAAAATACCTCAGACGAAGAAATGGGATTGTTGGAGATTCAGGGGAAAGTCATAAACACATAAAATTGGGAAAAACAAGGGATTGAAGATATATTACCTGAGAAATGCATCCACCAAGTCCCATGCCCTCGAAGAACTGGTGAAAGGTGAGTGCAGCCACCAAAGGTTTTATAGTCTTTGGACTTTCAGATGCACCCAAAGATATCCCTATTATCACTGAGTGCACCAGTATTCCCAACTCCAAAACCTACAAAAAAATGTATAATATCATATTAATTTTCATCATACTAACATTTGATCAAATATATATCAGTCTGATGATGATTATTCAAATCTTTAGTGGAACAAAAGAATTTAAAATTATCCAATATATATGATTTAGAGTTTAGACATGTTTGCTTTAGACAAAAATTACCTGAGATACTACTCGATGTCGAAGAAGCTCAGATGAAACTGAACGCTCAAGCATAGACACAGAACCATGAGCATGGCCATGAGTAGCATGAGTATGAACATGTACGTGATTTTCATGCTCCCCTGTTTTCTCTTCATCACCACCGTCACTCTGTTGGGCCTTATTAAAGTGAGACTTAGTGTAGTGAGAAGTTGCAAACATATCAACCATCAATGTAGCAATTGCAGCGGACATAGCCACCAATCCAGCGAACGGAAACTTCCCCCAAGGATTTTCATTGAGGCAAGGAGATGTCAAGTTCTCAGTAGCATCAGGAAGAACATGGATAAACCCTGTCGACAATATGACACCTGCTGCAAAGGCTTTGATCAAGAAGAAAACATTCTTTTCGGGACGTAAAGCCTTGATAGTTTTCCCAAGCAGAGGAAAGCAAACCCCAATAGCTCCAGCAACGAGAATCGAAACTAAAGCAGCCATCTTGTATTTGAGCGCCAGTGGCTTATTCCGATCTTCATCTTCAGGTTCGCACGTGCAGTCTCCTCGTACTAGGGAAGGAAGTAGGATGAGAAAGCAGCAAAGAAACGTCAAGAGCTGAGTTTGTTTAAAGTTGGTCATGGCTGGAAATGAAAACCGAATCCAATTGAGGCTAAAGAAGAACAGAAAAAGAAAAGTTTTGAGGAGATAGTGAATGAAGAAGTGTTGTTTTTATAGGGGAAACTAGGGCAGAGTCTTCTGAAATGATTTTGGCCCTACGATTTGGACTTCCTATGACAGTTTTTGATGGGACATGTAAAACGTGTTTAACTTTGAAAAGACCTCCAACGAAACAGGCAAATCACAACTTTCGGAGAAGAAAGGAACAACGTAAAATTATTAAAGCGTTGGCTTTTTTGTCAGATTGGTGAGTACGGCAGGGATAATTTGGTCAACTGCTGATGAAAATTAAATACCCTGTGGCGCTGCATTTGTATATTATGAAAAAAATAATGAGCTCAACTTTACCATTATTAGTTTTAATAACGCCTAATCTCACGGTAATCTTTTATTCAGTTAGTATGTATAGTCATTATTTAAGATTTAAATTTTAATATTTATAATTTTTTATTTTTAAATTACAATCTTTTTATATAAGAAATTATAAGTTACATTTTTTTTAATATATGTAAAATTTTTGTTTATATTTGTAAGATATTTTTGTGAGAAAACATATGAGACATTTAGATTAAAGTGTATAATATTTCATAAATTAAGTGTGTGTTTTCAAGTTTGGTATTAGAATAATCATTAGTCGAGCATATAAGAGTTAAATATTATACCATGAAAGTCACATTTATAATCACAATTAGTGAAAGTTATTTCAGAATCCTAATGCCCCGTATAATCTTGATTTTATGTGCAACATGATGGGCTCAAAGGAACGTGAAGTTTTAATAGGAAAAGTTTATATATCTCAATCCCACATTGACAATTTGTAATGATATATTATAATATAGAGATTTATATTTGATGTACTATTAATATATATTTTATATACTATCAATAAATTAAATTATGGCATCTCATTAATAAGGTGAAATGTTTCTGATTAAAGAAGCTCTTTTTAAATGAGATTACTTTTAAAAGTTTCAATACCTCTGTTTAAGAGGATCTTTCTTTATATAAGAGTTTTAAAATTTCAATGCCTTTAATTAAAGAAGCTTTTTTCAAGTGACATTTTCTTTTAAAAGTTTTAATATCTTTGTTTAAGATGAGCTTTTTTCATATAAGAGTTTTAAAATTTCAATGCATTTTATTAGAGGAACTTTTTCAAATGAGATTTCTTTTAAAAGTTTCAAAGCATATATTTAAGAGAAACTTTCTTCAGATAAGAGTTTTAAAGTTTCAATATCTTTGTTTAAGAGAAGCTTTTTTCAGATAAAACTTTTAAAGTTTCAAAGCTTCTAATTAGAAGAGTTATTTTTAAATGAGATTTATTTTAAAAATTTCAATGCCTCTGTTTAAGATAAACTTTCCTTAGATGAAATTTTTAAAGTTTCAATACCTCTATTTAAAAAAAGTTACTTGCAAATGAGATTTTAAAATTTCAATGCCTCTATTCAAAATGAGCTTTTTTCATATGAGATTCTTAAAGTTTCAAGGCCTCTAATTAAAGTAGTTTTCTTTATATGAGATTTTTAAAGTTTCAATACCTTAGTTTAAAAGGAACCACTTGCAAATAAGGTTTTAAAGTTTCAATTTCTTTTATTAAAGGAGCTTTCTTCATATAAGATTTTTGAAGTTTTAATGCATATGTTTAAAAGGAGCCATTTGTAAATGAGATTTTAAAGTTTCAATGCTTTTGTTAAAAAATGAGGTCTTTTTAGATAAAGTTTTAAAGTTTCAATATCTCTGATTAGAGGAACTATTTTCAGATGAGATTCTTTTAAAAGTTTTAATGCCTTTGTTACAAATGAGCCTTTTTCAAGTGACATTTTAAAATTGTTAAGCCTTTGATTAAGGGGAGCCTATTGTACCTTTTAAAATTGTAATACCTTTGATTAAAGTAAGACTATTTTTCTTTTGTTAAAAATGGTGAACGATCAATCCAAACAAAATTGTTGTATTTTATCTTTTTTTTTATTCTCAGTAATAGGCAAAAAAAGACAGCTATAGATACTAAATTCATCTAAATTATTTTCAAGACTAAATCAAAACAAATTTTTAGACAATTTAGGCTTCCCCGGTTCGACCTATTTGAATGTTTCAATTAATCGTTGTCTTACAAAATCTTTTACTTTTATTGGATCACCAAATGGGCTAAATTGTAGCCAAATCTAATTCCAAAGTTTGTTAAAATGATAAAGGTTTGAAAGCCCATTGCCCAAGCTATTTGGGCTTAAAGGCCCAATGAAATTTTAAGCCTAAAACCATATTCCCATTTTTATATTTTTTATTTCATTTCAAATGTAAAAGTGAAAAAAAAAAAAAACAAACAAACAAATTTTAAATAAAAAAATCAATCAAAATCAAAGTCGAACTTTTTTTTTCTGTCATCTCATGAGAGCCATTCTTTTTTTTATTCTTTCATTTTTTTTCAGCCATTATAAGACACAAGCATTTAATGCTTGTTACATCACCGTCCCCTACATTGACATTACCCACCCTTTTAACTTCATGAACCAAGCAATTTGGATACTAAAAATATGGGATGAAATTACCTCTATAAAACTAACATCCACAAACAAAGGGAAGGAAATTTTGAGACATTGCCTAAAAAAGGGTCGAATGAGCATTTCACCATTACTTAAAAAAATTTGCTCCAGTACTCTTAAACACCACAACCAAGCTTTTGCCCGTACAAACCATAGCTAAACTTTTGCCCGAACCACAACTTAGCCACTAACATAAAGCCAACACCATCACAAAATCCCATGCCCTTCCCTAAACACCTCACCACCAGTAGCCATATACTATCATGACAAACCCATTAAAAACACTAAAAACCACCCAAGACCTATAGCACCTAGAAAGAAAAAAATCTACAAACCAATACGAAAATATACAAAAAAAAAAATCGTATTCCTCTAAATGGAAACCATGGCAACAAGAAACCATAAAAAACACATTTTATCATAATCATAAAAAAAAAAAAGGGTTTTACTTTTGATTTTTCAAAGAGATTAGGGATCGAATTTCTAGTGAGGTGAGAAGCTTCGACTTAGAAAATAGCATAGTTTAAGACAGCATCCCAGGAAGTAGTGGAGGGTGGAGACCTTTTGGTTCAAACTCATGACTTTCTAACCTAGATTGAGGAGTTTTAGGTGGTTTCTCAAGAAATCTAGTTGAAAAACAAGAAAGAAATGAGCCAAAAGAAATTTTTTGGTCATTTTTGGAAATTTTTTGGTATCAACTAACAGCGGTTGATAGCAAAAACGATGAAGACAAATGACAGTTGACCACCAAGATAAGGAAAAGAAGGGTTGTTTTTGGAAAAATAGAGAGAGAGAGAGAGAGAGAGTTTTTTTATAGGAAAAAATAGTAATGATCTGAAAAAAATTAGTTAAAAAAATGACATCATTTTGAAGAAAAGCATCTACATGTTGACCTGACAATCCGCCATCTAACCCGAACCTACATCAGCTCTAAAGCCCAGACTAGTCTAAATCAAACTATCAGTAAAACAGTCCGACTTAACCTGAATCGACAAAAACCAATTTAGACCATTGAAAACCATCTTGAGCCACGCTAAACCAGTCAAATGGCCTTTTGGATTATTGATTGGTGTTAGTCAACTAATTTTGAATAATTTTCTTTATTTTTTTCATTTTTCTAATTTTTTAAATTATCTATTTATTTATTAGTGCATATTTATGTTTTAAATCCCTAGAATAAATTTTTTTAAAGAAATAGGAAAATTGGTGTTTAAAAAATAGTAAATTAAAAAAATGTGTATGAAAAATATATAATATAACAATAATAATAAAAATGATGTATAAAAAATAATAATAACAATAACAATAATAATGAAAATCTCCAACGATAAGATATTAAAAAGGTCCAAATACCAAAGTAATGAAGTATTTTTTAAGTGATGATATTTTCTAAAAACAATACCAAAGTAATGAAGTATTTAGAAAAATATTTAATACAAAATATTTTCATTTATTTATTTCCTTAAAAATATAAATAAAAATAATGAAAGGGAAAAATGAATCCTTTTAGTAATAAAATTATATATAATAATGCATGAATACTATTATTTGTAAAGAAAGCAAAAACAAAAATATCTGAGAATGTAATTCTAAGAAAGTCCGACTAATGATTCCTAAAAAGTCTCTAAGTGAGAAAATTCTTCTAAAATATCGTCAAAGTATTGGGAGTGTCTGAAAAATGTTCAATAAAAAGATTTTTTTAATTTTGTTTTAAAAAAAGAGAAAATAAACATAACACAATTGGATAATTAAAACAAAGATGGAGAAATAAAATAAATAATGAATAAAAAGAATTAAGACAGATAAGATATAACATAAGAAAAAATAAGTACGATGACTAAGATTAAAAAAAAACTTTGGCAGGCATATTACACTTCGTCATCTGCATTTCATATAATAATCTTGAAAGTAATGCAAATTTTTGATGAGGAGATTTTAGAGCAATCCAAGCAGTGATTCTTAAAAAATCACTAAGTTAAAAAAATTTTTTTAAATATTATCAAAATATTAAAATATTTAGAACAAATTTTAACACAAAAATTCTTGTTTACTTTTTCTTACTAAAAAAATAAATTTTTATATAATGCAATAATGTTACAAATTGATTCATGAACATCATATTTCATACATACACACCAATTCCGAGAATAAATGAAATCTTTGAGGATAAAATCTTAAAGAAGTACAAGTAGTGATCTTTATGATTCTCTAAATGAGAAGTTTTATCTAAAATGCCACCAAAGTATTGAGGCATTTAAAATAATATTCAATAAATATTTTTCATTTGCTTTTAATAAAAAAAATAAGAAATGCATTTTTTAAAAGGAAAATATTACTAGGGTTAAATCATAAGTATTTTATTATATGTATTTTAAATATTAATTTTGAGAATAAATATAAACAGCGGAAGATGGGATTCTTGAAAAGTCCAAGTAATAATTCTTAAGAAATCTTTAAATGAGAAAGTTCATTCAAATATTGTCAACATATTGAAATATTTTTT